ACCGGAATGGCCATTTCTGGCTTATTAGCCGTCATCAGCCAGTCATACCCAACCCCAAGTGTGGATCACTTGAGATTCGAACCCGGGATCTTTGGTCATGGAGTTGAACGCTCTACCATTGAGCCACGTGCCCGTTGTCCTCTCGGTTGTGATCGGGAATATTAATTATGACAGTGGGCGCTCGCCGATCAGGTTAAGGAACATGCTCGTTCCGTTGTGTCTTGGGGCTCATACTAGAACCTTTGCAGGCAGTCGCACAGCGACTAGTAGAATGATGTAAATCAGGTGGTACCGACAAAGACAAGGGAGACCGGAATGGCCATTTGTGGCTTATTAGCCGTCATCAGCTCGTCGGAAAATCGAGGTATACTCGTGAATTTTCAAGTCGGTTACACCAACCCGTCGTCAGACGAAAGGAAATGTGTGAGGGAGATAATCGCACTGGGATCTAGGGTGACATCGAGGTAACATCGGCAAGACAGACGTTTATGTGTGGCGGTGAAGAATGTGTTTGGATAGGTGGCGGACGTTAGGGGAGGTGTTGAGGGTTTCACACGTGGTTCACTCTGTGGGGGAGGTGCTGAATCCGTGATATTCTACATGGCCGAACATGGATTAGCAGTTGGTGTCTTAGGGTGGGCGCAAGCCGACGAACCGTGAACGTAAGCCTTCGTAGTGAGCGTCCAAGTCGACATGTCGGTTGATGCTATTGTTTTTAGACTGCCAAGCTTCTAGAAACTCTCGTGGTTGTTTGGTGTTGGCACTGGCGATTACTTCCGTCCCCTCCCAGTTAAAGCGGTGATCACACTCAAGGGCTTGCGCAAACACGAGAGACAAGGGGTCCCGTCGGCAGATGGCCAACTCATGTTCGTTAATGCGGGTCCCATATCGTCGGCCGGTATGCCCAACATAAACGCTGGAGCAGTTGGCACATGGAATGCGGTAAATGCATTTGTTTGCTGCTCCTTCGGTATGGGGTCTTTTACCCGGGATAATGTCGTGCGCAATGAAGACGCCGGTTTGTGGGCGATGGAGATGCCGAATTGATTTAATTGTCGAACGATCGCTTCGGAAATTCTCGCAGTTGGTTATTTAGCCTTCGCGCACTCTAGTTTGAAAACTAACTTGGTGAGTTATAAATAACCAAGTTATTTGCATAAACCGAACTCTAGTCAATGTGATGTACGTTACAGTCACACATGATCAGACGATCATCGGTCGCAGGATCACTTATCGGCGGTTAATAGACTGTCAGTACATCGAGTCGCGGTGAACATGGTGCAAATAGACAGCCAGCTTGTCTTGGAGGTAGAGGCATATTTGTCTGTTTTGTTTGATGCTATTAGCCTATGTTTTATCTGCTGTAACAACCAGGTTTCTATTAAGGTGATAACGTCTGGAGAGAGATTACAGGGGCGGATCTTCAGCTCTTCGAACTTCGACAAAATGATCTTCGCATTGATGTGTATAGATTTTTATTTCCGTTATACCTGAGATTTGGTTACCATTCGGCTCGGGCATATAGATAATACGTGCTAGTGCGCGGTCGTTTGAATCAGAGCCGTCCAAAGGAAAAGTGGCGGATAGTTATTTCATAAAACTAAGTAACCGAGTTCCCTGAGTTTCTGTTTCATTTCAAAAATAAAAAAATTAAAAGATACTAGTAGACGCGTACCAGCTTTTCTGTTGGTGAGTAAACCGGTTGAAAAAATGTTTGATTTCGAGTCTTTTATCACAAACCGCCTGAGGAGAATGAGCCTAACTTTCTCGCTCCTGATCAGACAACTTTACAAGACGGGGACGTGTTGATTCCGATAAACCGTCTGTCCGTTTTTCATGGCTGGAGGCTTTGATCACTTCAGGCGCCTGAATGGGTCCTGAAATACCATAAAGTAGACCTTGGCAGAGTGGTAGGGCTTTTAAAACCCTCTTCTTTGCAGTGTTTACACTTGATCCAGGGAACCGCCCGATAATGAGACACTGCTCTCTGTCAATTACATTTTTACTTTCGGGTAGACGTTCCCTTGTAACGCCCCACGACCTGGATAGGGTTATTTGAATGAAGAAACACCTTTTGGCGCGCGAACCTAGGATGGAGTTGACGTAGCCACATGTTGGTGAAGATGACCAGTGTCCCTTCCTCTTACTTCCGCCGACCCCTCTTCCCGCAACATACCGTGACGCTCTTATCGTTCTCTCTCTCTAGGCCTGCACCACCGTCGACACTTCTCTTCGGTTGTACACAGCGCTGCGTACCCCCCGGTTAATTAGCTGGCATGTCGCTATCGCCTCTTCATCCAGACAGGTTACTCCACAGTTGTAACTCGTTCTGCTTGTAATATTAACTATTCTTATACGCCTTTCCGATTGCCATCTCTCTCCATTATACATTCTCGCCTACTTGACGTTACTTTTTCCTTTATGTGCGGATGAGTATCATGACTTACTAGCAAGCTTATTCACATAAACGTTAGCAGGATCTCTTTCCAGTGCTTCGTTATTTGGGTGTGTGATTCCCCTGACTTCCTCGACCGCTACACCCTAAATGGGGCAACTCTGTGGGGCTATGTGTTGGTTATGGCGGGGCATACGCTCTTCTGTGATGCGTTCGTTCGACTCCTATTTGGATAAACTTATAAGAAGCACATGGCACAGAAGACTGAATATAAATCTGTTAGTTCGATGAATAAATAAATGTCCCCACTCCTACTGGGTCTACCAAATTCGAAATTTTTCCCACATTCGTTAGGGGTTTCAGGACCCACGGCGTTCATCGTGAGGAACGGCAAGGCTGTCAACATCTCTGGTTCGGGTCCTTAAGAATCATCGGTCGAAAGCAGCTGTTCTCTTTCCTTGGCCTTTTTACTGCCGGATATCTTTCGCCTTGGATTTTTTGGTTTTTCGCTATTGTCTTCTTATCCTTCGAGAACTGCAGTAACAGCTACAGAAGGCGCTACTGACGTATCCATTATGTCAGGCTTCTTTGTCCTACTTCTAATTACGCGTCTAGAGGAGATATTTATATCGTTAGTTTTGTCTAAACTAAATTTTAGCTAGTTTTTATCTTTCAAATCTCTTCCTCAAGTGAGTTAATCTTGACGGCCAAATCTGACATCCACTGCAACATCTCTCTGCATGTGATGCGTTTTTGCAATCAGGACGACAATGTAATATTTCCCGTCGTCTTGATACGGTGGTTGATGGTTTGGCGAAGTGGACGGAAAAGCGTGTTCTCTTGACAAACCCTTCACTCTGACATATCATCTTTTGCCACAGTGCACACACGAGTCTTGCTGAGAGGTTATGGAAACGGAACAGTCGGCGGGAATAGATAGACATTGTTATGGCACACACGTAAATGGGAATTGTGTTCATGTAAGGTTTGTCGAACTATTTCGAGAACGAACGGTTTGGGAGACGTTTTAAAGCTAGGCCGAGTTTAATAAAATGTCGTGCCCGGATCTGAGCAGCGAAAAGACCCTAGCCCTAAGTGGGGATGTTGCGCTCAGCCTAAAATAGTGACGGAGAAAATAATGGAATAACTTGGGATGTGAACCGTCTTGCAAACTCGAGAAAAACAACATCCTCTATGTACATGTTTGTTACAGAATGTTAGGGTCCTTATAAGTGGTTCCGAAAACTTCCAGGACGGTCATTATCAATAGTACTTGTTGTCCAAACGAATTTTCGTCCAGCAAGTTGCGGCTGAGAGGTAAGTTCCAGGTGTGTGTAGTGTTTTACTAGAAAAAAATCATGCACATATAAGAGATTTAAGAACCATCACATCAAACGGCAACGTAAGCAGAACACGCGTTGCCACAAATGGAAACCGGTTGTTTCATACACCTCAGCCTATTCGAGCCAGAGTACAGAAGATTTCAGGTGAACGCGAAAATGCGGCGCGAAAAATTAATAATGACTCAAAATAACAACCCTCTTTTTATGTTATTGTAAATGGTCGTGCTTTGTCTCCCTGTCCCAACTCACCCATTTCCAGGTTTCATCTCAGCTCACCGGCACTTGGGTTTGGAACAATGCCTGCACAGGGTGTTCTACTATTTCGGAGTCTGTCGTTATGGTAATCAACACGAAGGCCCAGAATGTTTAGCCTCTGGCAAGCACCCGTAATCTACGGGCGAACCTGAACGAGGAACTTACTTAAACCTGTTGACGTGGGCCAATAAAAATCGCAGTCACTTTGGCTAAAGGTGATTGTGGGTATGGCAGCTTCCGAGTTTGTTTTGACTATTGTCTCTCCAAATCACAATATTCCTCCGCAATCAGTCAGTTATCAGAAAGAATGGAAGGTCATAGATCTTAAAGATCACCTAAACAAGGTGTATCCTGGGCGACCGCCAGTGGAGAGTCAACGTTTAATTTTCGCCGGACGTTTAATATCAGATAACGATGATCTCGATGCGGTTTTCGGCCCAGTACGCTCGTCTTCGCTAATAAATTTTATTTTCAGAATCCCATTTCGCGTACGCTTCATCTTGTTGCGACAATTTCATCTACTCAGGAAGCTGTTCCTGGCCTGAAAACAAACAACTATAAAGAAACGTACGAACGTTTGGGCGTTTCTAAAAGTATATTTAGCTCACCTCACTCGGATGCAATGTCTGACTTGCGACAGCAATACATGCTTTACCTCCAACAGTACTATCAGAACGCCGCCCAATCAAACCCTAACGGGCAGTCCACGTGGCAGTTAGAATACATGCGTAAGTTTTTTTCCATTAGGACGTTTATGGTGGTTATTCTCCGCTACTTCAGTTAAATGCAGATTTTCATTTTAACCATCTGTACTTGAACCGTTTTGTGTCCCATCTTTCGTGTGCACGAGTGCGCTTTGGCGCGTTCGTTACCCAACGTCATGCTCACCCTACGTTACCTGTCTGATGGCAACTACCGGGCTTAAAATGTTCGCATCCATTAGTTGACCTCAGAACAGAAGACACCGAACTTACCTCTTTCGGTCGTAATTAATTGAGCGTAATAATTGTGCTTCTGCATTATCCTGTGGGCAATTCTAATGTCACTTCACATGCGGGCGCGGATGCCACCACTCAGTAACAATGTACTGCACCACATATTATATAGACGTATTTCGCATAGATGACCTTCCTGCTCAAAGTGGTATCAGTTAAAGTTGTAAGTTGAGGACTTCAGCCGACGGCGAGTTTGGAACCTAGGTTTACTCTTATTGAGATGTTTTGGACCTACATCTGTATTATGACAGAGACGACTTTGTAGTACTTCATTTCTTTACCATTTACATGTCTTTCTGGAGCCTTTACCGTACTTTTTGGCCGCTCAGATTGCTTTTTTACGTAACCTTGGTTGTTACTGTGGACATACCCGACGTTGCCCATAGGTGAACAAGTAGATTGGACTGCGATGTTGTTTTACTACGTGAGGAACTGAGACTGTTGTATTTGTTTCTCGTCTATCCGTCCGATCGTACATAACAAATTGTAGATTGCTGTCATTCCACAAAATACTTGCTCTTTTCCCCCTAATTTCGGATATCCAAAAGTTGCACGATTCGTGTTTCTGCTGTTGTGACTCGTTATCGTAAGCTTGAGTCTACCTAAGTGCTTCCGGATAACATTTTAGGTCATATCTCGCAGATTTCTGCTGCGACACCTGCTCAGTCCGTTACTAACTCCTCCAATCCCACGACACCCGAACCTGATACGCTAGTCGAGGACCAGCAACAGGTGCGGCCTCGCAACATCCTACAGCGCTGGGCCCGATATCTCGGCCAACCGGATAATGCTGAAGTCGAGGGGGACGGTTTGAATGGTCAAGGAGTCGCCGCAGATGGTGCTGATGAAGGTTTCGATGTAGTGGAATTTGCCTATACCCTTTTCCGAGTCAGTCTCATGATCGCCATATGCTTGGCCTATTCGTCGTGGGAAAGAATTGTCCTTGTTGCCCTCGGCGTGGCGTTCTTCTATTGGTATGCTTATGCCCACTTGCCTCTACTTCCTTGCTGTAAGCTATATTTTGCGTGAATAGGTGGATATTCACCAATTCTATAAAGTGGCCCAATTCTCAACTTCTAAGCTTCAGTTGTTGGAGACTTTTCTTCTGGTGTATGTTGTACAATTTCGTGAAAAATCATAGCGTGCTTCAGTTTTCTACACTGTTGACGTATAGTTCTCGAATCACCCTTTCAAAAATTTAATCTCACGGAGTACTTGAGACAAGATTATTGTAATCCACATCACTACCTCCACGCGAACCGATGCGCTCTACACGACCAAGTGGTATGAGTAATCACTGAACAATCAGGACGCTTAAACCAGTGGTCTATGTTATATGGGGAACCCAAATTACCAGGAAACCCCGATCGAAGTCAAACTGCCTATCTTCCTAATCTTGCACCAGATGTTTTACTAATGAGATATGGATGCGCTTCCTGTGTGTGCGCGTGATCGTGAGTACGTGAGACAAGATTATTGTAATTCACATCACTGCCTTCACGCGAACCGATGCGCTCTACACGACCAAGTGGTATGAGCAATCACCGAACAATCAGGACGTTTAAACTATCGGTCCATGTTATATGACCAGGAAACCCCGATCGAAGGCAAACTGCCTATCTTCCCAATCTTGCACCAGATGTTTTACTAATGTGTGCGCGTGATCGATATAGCCGTATCTCCGACTCGTAAGATGAGGCATCTTAAGATGCATCGCTTATACGTTGGAAATGGACAGTTGCAGTATACAGACTAGATGAGATCTGTAATTCTGACAATTAAAACATTTCGAATGTTAGACTGGAAGATATTAAAATTTCACAATACCCCCGCCACCCGTAATATGTCGGCCTTGGCCTACTGTAACAGCTCGAAATGTTTTATCTATCCTGTTTTTGCCATTGGGGAAGCCATTTGATCGGTCAGACATTATTTATTTCTGCCTTCTGGTGAAGTCGGCAGTGGTTTTACGACTCGCTCTCGAATGCCACAGATATCAGTGTGCCTGCTTTAGGGTACGATATCGCGTTATGTCTAAGGTGCTTGTCTATTAATTCTATACTTATGACTGAGGTAAGGCCTTTTTGTTGAATTTCGGCTTGAGAGATTCGAGTATAGTGCATACCAAATTGCTGCTAAAAGAATAAGCATAATGAGATATAATCACCCGAATGGTTTCTACTCGCAGTTTTTGTTAGGTGTCTATGGGTTAATCATTGTGCCTGTTGCTGTAAGGGTCCGCTTTTATCAGTTGCTTATTTGGCCAATCCTCAATATTAGTGTATACTGGGTTATGTATGTAGAAGTTGGAACTGGACATGCCCGACCACCATTACTTGTGACTCGTATAGCGAGGAATTCAGGTCTTCGAATGCGACAGTTTCCTATCGACAGTTAAGGTTTCTGAGCAAATTTTCTTTCGTTTTCCCCACTTGGTCAGTACTGTTGTTTCTAAGCCAATCCGTTCCTTCACTGGGGACCACGTAGAGGCGGTTCTGTCGATATCTTTTGGTTGCCCTTGCATCTCTTTGCATTCTGGTTTTCACGGCTGGGGGAATCCCTGCTTAGGTCGACAACTGTCTGCACATTCACCTTGTTGATGAAAGTACAAGTCTTAGAATGTCCACTGTTATTTCGCCTTACCCTCTGAAGGGCACATTAGGTAGTCTTAAAAGTCTCGTTAACGCTTCCTAACCTTGGATACAAATGCGTGCGATCTTCCCCTTTCGCAACTGAATGATTGTCTTAATTCACTAGTTCTCATTATGTTGCCTCCACACCCTTCCATCAGTCTAACCGTAGCTTTTACAAAGCCATGTAATTGTTCAACCACTAATTACTATGGCGTTCCCGGAGATGCTGGTGGTGACCATTTTAACAGCATTTCTGACGCGTTTTTTGACCAAAAAAGTTCTTAGTTGCGGCAAACCTGTTTAGATCTCCCGATTTATTTCTTACTGCACTGGATTACTCTCACGCTTCGAAATAAAAGCTCCCCTCGGTCTGACTCCGTTCCGCGGTGGCAGTCCGGGTAATCTCACTGATTAATATAACCTTTTTCTCTTACCGACAGCGAACTTCATGCTGTGCGGAACTATTAAACTTGCCACATTTTTCCCATGTCAGGCACAACGAGGAACAGCGTAATCGTTACCTGGTCAACCTTATCCGACGGATTCAAGCAGTACAACTCCCCGCTCCCGCGAGGGCAGCCGACGGTCAACAAGTACCTGCTGGTCCAGATCAGGTGAAAATTTGTTTGAAACCTTTCCGCCAAGTTATTACCCACCCCTTCCTCTTACCATTAAACGATCTGGAGGAAGTGTGATAATGACAGGGAATTCATGGTTGCAATACATTTTTAATACGGCCAGGTCTAGGCATTCGTGTGCATATTTTCTCAGTGGTCTTGAGACTACAATGTTTTTCCAGTCAACCAGGGGTTTTAGTTTTCCTACATGGTTGTCCCTGTTTTAAAACGACCATTCCTAAATTGCCGACAACTGAGGCCTTCCTTGTTCAAGCCTTAATGTACCATTGAAATGGGGAACAATAATGATTTTGACGCGACAGAAACTGAAATGGCAACTGCTGGAATTCTTGTCGTCAGCAGTCAGCCAGACACCAGGTCAGAGCAGCCCGGAATTTAAACTCGACTCTGCTTAGTCATCGAGGCCATGAGTCAAACGCCCTCCCACCTGGGTCACGAGTTTGCGCTTTGTCGACCGTTCCCGGAATTCCGAACGTCGCGTGAAGTTTTTGTCTTGTCGAATTGCGCCATGGGAAGAAATATACTTACTCTCTTCTCCCTTAGAGCTCGAATCTAGGACCCTCGCAGTCAGTCGAAAAGCGATCATCAGTCAGCAGTGCTAGTGTGCGGCTGCCTGTCTTTACCATCATATCATATCCTCTCCCACCTCAGGAACGACCTAAGGTTCGAAACCGCCCGCGAGGACTCCAGGGCAGACCGAAGCGATCATGTTTTCTGGTAGAGGGCGTTAACCGATCTTTCCTACGGAACTCACTCGTCCCGTTGTGCCTTGCGGGCTCTCTCTCTCAAGCCCAACCAGCAGCCGCGCAGCGGCGCATGATATAGGCAGACTGGTATTACGGACAAAGACACGGGAGATTGGAATGGCCATTTCTGGCTCATTAGCCGTCGTCAGCCAGTCATACCCAACCCCGAAGTGTGGAACACCCGAGACTCGCGGTGTGGACTTCTAACAAACAGGTCGCGATTTCGAGTCTCGGGTGTTCCAAACTTCGGGGTTGGGTATGGCTGGCTGACGACAGCTATTAAGCCGAAGTGGCCATTCCAGTCTCCCGTGTCTTTGTCGGTAATAACGTCATGTTCTCGGCGGAGTGTCACATCCACGGAAATCCTTCTCCTACCCTGCTATGATTTACCTGCTACTCACTTTTGTTATGGAGGATGATCGCCATCGAGTACGATGGAAAAATACTTCTGACTTTTCTGACCATCTGGTCGACCCTGGGCGTGTCAATCAACCCCAGGTCGTTGTGGTGGTGGCGGCGGGGAGAAGTTCCGGTTTTTTCGGTCATGTTGCGGTGGCCTTATCACCCGTTTCATTTGTCTCAACGACCAAGCAGCGCAAGCCTGACATTCACATGCAAAATTGTCCTGACAGCGGCCGTCTATGCAACCTGCAACTCTGCCATCGACGGCCCTTGATCGTCCGTTTTCTTGCCGAGGTCTGGACTGCCTTTGTGTATGATTGTTAATTGTAGAAATTCATATTGACCCAACTGTGAAAAACTCGGCGCCTCGGTGGGATTCGAACCCACGCAGTAAGGGGAAGGCTTTAGTACAGCCAACGCTCTAACCACCTGAGCTACGAGGCCCCGCCGGCCCCGAAAGTCGGCTCCATCTGGATGATTACCCCAACGGCGTAAAAAACCGATATCTGTGCGTATTCGTGCGGACAACTTTTTAACCCATGTTTTCAGGGCGTTGAAAAAACTGCATACAAACTTTCCTTGCTTTTCAGCTCTCTTATTGGCTGTTTTTTTACTGCCCCCACCTCTCCTCTAAGTCTCATCTGTCACTGAAGCCTCCAACGCTTTTAATGCCTTCCTCTGCGTATAATTTTCAGGCAACCAACGCACCTACCGACACCAATGCTGCCACAGAGGAGACTTCCCCGCCTTCACCACCACCTGAGGCGCCGCCGGTACAGCATCCACTGGACCGACTGGCCAGCACAGTGCGCCTCATCACCGTCACTTCATTTCGCTTTATTTACGCCCTCTTCACTTCCCTAGTTCCCGAGGTGCCGGTGCCTATCGACTGAGCCTGTGCCTGCGGACCACCCTATAACTGCACAAGAAGACACACACATACACACGCCTACGGACTTTCAGCCCTCCTTACCGTTGCTTTCCTGCCCATTACGGGCACTGGCCTGCGTCAGCCCTAGCGCTCGCTCTTCCTACCCCTGCTCCCTCCCCCCCCCCTCAGATTCAATCATCCCCTCACCTCCATGGGTTTGGGCATCTCCACCAGATTGCATTGCATGTACGTACGGACCTGCCCTGTCCTTTTTACCTTCTGGGGTCCCCGCGCGCGCGTCTGGGCGGTCGATCGGGGCGGGAAGTTGGCGAGGAGAGGGGGTGATGCATTCGCCTGCTCATTATTTTATAATCTTTCCAGGCAGCCATGTGAACATTTGCTTTCTTTTTTAGTGGTCTTCACTGCTCATTCGCTTTTCCACTCAACTTAATTTGCCGTGGCATTTTAGAGAGTGGGCTCTAGTGCAGAATTGCCGTCTTTGTTTTTGTGTGTATGGCGTCTACCAAGATCCTGCCACCGTAACACTTCTACTGCAAGTTTTCGGCGCGTTGGGGTTTAGTAGTCCAAAGTGGTCGTTCCTGATGCGCTTTAAATTGCATCTCTCGGTCCCATGGGTTTTCAGATAATTTTACTAGGATATTCAGACCATAATTCTGCGGTCGCCTAGGAATGCGAGTGAGCCATGGTTCGTCGGATATTGCCTTCGTGTGTGGCCTGATAGTGGGATGGTCTAGCGTCTGGATTCGACTGTGAACGTTATTAATCGTTCTCTGGCCCGTTAAAACAAACGTTGAGATTACCACGCCCCCGGCACAGCTACAATCTGGAGACCCGTATGCGTGTTTTGTCCGATTCTGTCCCGTTCCATAATGCAGCTGTGAAGTTTTGGATGTATCAGCGAGTCCACCGACCTTGCCTATATGGTTTCTCGGTCATTAACTCTCCGGTTTCTTATGCTTTTTAATCCCTTCAGAAATAAATGATTAGGCCCAGAGTCAACTCCCCGGGATGAGCCGTTTTGGTTTCGTGGCACCGCACCTGGGTACAGACTCACGCTGTGCCAGCCTCTATCGCCGACAGTATTCTCGGCTCTCGCCTGAGACCGGGCCCAGGTGGGAGAGGAGAATGTGATAGGTGTTGCGCAAATTTACCATCACTATCAACTTTGTCCCTTTGTCCATCCGGTTGTAGGCTGGTGGTTGACATCGTCGGTCTGGCTGTCGGGTGCAGTGGTCACTCCGCTGCAAACTTCTCAATCCCGCCAGCGTATTTCCATTGGCAGTCTGCGAGTGTTACGCGATCATTCCACTAAGTCTGCTGGGATTTGGCACGGGTCCTCGTAGCAGTCGGGGGGCGGGGGGATTGTGTCGAAAGATTCACTCGCAACTCATTGTTAGTTCTGGTGGGGTTGGAGACCGTCTGATGACGGCTAGTAAGTCGGAAATGGCCATCCGGGTTTCCCTTTTCTTTGCCAGCGATCATCCCCCTGCATGATCACTGGTCGCTTTGCGACAGCCTGCGAGGCTTAACGGAAGGGGCATGCTACGTACCTATACGATAGTTCGACCGTCGATTTCGACTATCCACCGTATGTTCCACAGCAGGTAGTGGGAGCAGGAACGATGACTTGCGTGGGTGGTTTATAGTGCCTGTAGACTTGGCTGCATCTACCTACACTCTCTCCTCCACATGAGCCCGGTTTCAAGACAGAGTCAAGAAGACCGTAGATAAGGGAGGCCGCGGGTGGATGGCTTGGACGGATCTGCACCTTGGCGCTCCACTCCGCACACTGGTCCACACAACGATGACCAGGATTTTGAATGACAAAACAGTGGGTGAGGGATGGCAGTGGTCCCGGTTTGTGCGGCGACTACCGACAGCAGGGTCTGCCAGCACACTCCTTAAATGTTGGCATTTGTTTTTGTGCAAGATAACGCCTGCCAGAATCCGATGTGTCCCCCCCCCTCTGTTGGTCCAACTCATCTACCACGTGGCCCGTTTGGGGGGCACACGGGTATGGTCGGGAGCCCACTGGCGAGCACTGCGGCGCATAATCGGCGAAACGCGCGCCTGAACTTCCAGCCGGCCCCTGTGCTATGAGCAGGACAAATGAGTCTGGATGCGTACAGTGGGCGACGTAGTGCGTGTAATGGGCCTTAATTAACGAAAAATCTCCAGTCAATCGGAAACCGATCCCAACTGCGTCGGCTGGAAGGCCAGGTTTAGATGGAACGACTTCAAGTTAATTGAGAACACAAAATACATACTAGAAGTAGTATTACATTCCTTGGAATTTGCAATTTTCTCGAAAATTTCGTAAATGCTAGAGGCGCGATAATTCGTGCGAGAAGCGTAAACTTCAAATGCATTAAGGCTTTCCATGCAAATAAATGAGTGAATGTAGCCCCCTAGTCACAGCAGTTTTTGGTAAATTACCTCTAACAATTGGTGTTATGTGAAGTATGGCACACAGTCAAGTGCATGATGCCTGATTACAGGTTCCAAAACTTCACTGGGAGAGCCGTGTACTTTCGATTATATATTGTCCGAGAAGTGGTTGATTAAAGCATAGGGGATTTTGCCTGAGTTCGTTGGTAGGGCCGTCATATGCTGAGGGCTTGCTCAGTGACCTTGAAGTTCAAGCTAAATTGGCAGGTGTAATTGTAAAGCATACTATTTCCCTCAAAATAGTTACTTTGGGGACTGAGGACTGCGCTGAGTTACAGGACGTTTTTAAAATACTTTGCGGTTTTCCGTGTTTTTAATCGAACGCCCAAGTAAATGGGTCCCGTAGCTCTTGTATATCGACACCTTCGGAGTGAGATATGCCTCGAAAGCATTTGCCGAAGTAGTGGGTTATCGGCCATCCCAACTTATGCATGTGCCCGTTTTATTCATACTTACAGACTCACCCAAACATGAAATCCCAGTGCAGAGAAAATAAGCGTCCACATCGAACGTTTACGATGAATATGCTCTCTATCAGTGGCAAGACCTCTGATAAGCTTCCTCCTTAGGGCTTGTGTCCATTAGGTATTTTGCTAGCAAATATCTACGTACTTGACCTCTTTCCAAGGTTATGTCAAGGAAAAGACTAAAAGGTTTGACCATTTTTTTTCTGCTTCCCGAAAAGTAGCTGATAATTTTTCTGCTGGAAACAGAAAGACCCACTCTTCTGCCAATAGTCAATCCCTTCCTGCCTACATGTCTGCAATCAGTCAGAACGCCTTTGCTGACCTTAACTAGCGGTCTTGAGACAAAAGTGCATGGGTGCACTCGGATAGTTTGCGGTTGAGGCGCGTGCTGTTTATAATTAGCCCAGCAGGCAGTTCTGTTCTAGGCGTGCGCGTGTGTTTGTGTGAACATCCTTGTTTAAGTCCTACAACGCGGGTCACGCGGGAGTTGCACTGGACCGACACGGGGACCAGATCAGGGTCCGGCACCCATAACGAATGCTCTACATGGTGGGGGGGGAGGGGGGTAGTGACACTTCTAGGTTCAGGCCCGCGTAGCGTCTGCGTCCGATCCTGACCGGCTTGGGCAGTGGATTTGTGTCTGAGAGAGAGAGGGAAGAGAGATTGAGGTCAACTCCGGGAGCTCCGCCCCCTCAGCGCTCAGCGCATACTGCTCACCACAAACAGTCTGATGGCGTGTTACAGGCCATGGCTTGGGAAGCCACCAACTGACAAGATAACTAGGTCCTCTCAGGGCCGGAAATCAGGCTGAAGTGTCTTCTTGGCGTGGCTTCTACGCATTGTCACCTAGGCGAAACCTGAACTACTCCTTTGTGTGAACATGTCATCCAATTGTCGAAATTAGTGTGGTCGACAAGACAATGATTCCCAATCATAAGTCAGGAAAGACGGAGTGATTTGGACAACCCTTACTGTTTTGGAAGTGCGTACACAAAGGCTCTGTAGGCAGTCGCCGCAAGCGCGCTCTCCAGGCGAGTTGTCTGTGTCCGCCTTCGAGGTGCTCAGACCCAGCGCGTGTGTGCGCCTTTCGTTGTCTCCGCGTCCGACAGCCAATCAGAAGGGAGACAGCGTTGATTGGCCTGGAGCACTCGCGAGGCCGGTGACAAGCCTCGCGCATCCCAGTAGCGTATTGACGAGGAGTGTGAGGCGGACAGGAAGGCAGCGTGGCAAAGGCGGAGGGCAAGGAGATGCGAACTGCCACAAACACCCGGTCCATTGTGTGCGGACCGGGCGTGTGTAGAACGCGTAGATGGGGTTTTTAGCCTTGTCAGCCATCGAACTTAATCCCTTCCCAGGTCTTTTTACCATAATATAGCCATGGAGCCTAGGAGGGTGGCTGAGGAGAGAGTGCAGTAGGGGTATCAAAATATGTTAACTCGCGTGCAAGTCGCCGTACCTTGCTGTGGGACACACGGTGGACATCGCTGGTGAGTTTCGACGGTCAAACTGTCACCTCCGCGCGGCCCGCTTGTAGGATCTGCGGTTCCTGTTGGTAAGGCCTGTCGCTTTATGCCTTTTGCAGTCCTTCAGCTGTGGTCGACTTTCCGATGGCTGTTCATGTGCAGGAATAAATGGTTGAAAAGACGACACTGGCTGCCTACTTGTGCCATTTCACTGTTCTTGCCCAATACAGTAGGTGGGCTAACTTATGAAATGTTCGCCGAAATTTCGAAATTCGTTACCGTTTCGAAAAGACTAATTAAGTAGAGTTGTAAAACTAATCATTTTGCAGCATAATTCTATAGTAATCTAGTTATCGCAGGGTGCCGGCTTTCGAATGAACTTCTTTCCGACTGCATGCAAGGACTATACTCTGCAAAAAAATGACTACTTAAGTAGCATGCAATTTTCTCATTGATCTTCGATGTTCTTAAAAATTCAATTATATTTCACGGAAAACATGTATAAAAATATTCATTTTTTACTTATTCGGTAGAAAATTACGTCTTCTTCCGATTTCATACTCGAGGGAAGGGTATGATTCGGTTTTCAGAAACTTTTCCAGTTCCCGAATAATTTGGAACCC